CAGACCTCAGGGCATGTATCTGGAAATTTCTAGAAATGGGGACACAAAATATCTTTTGTTGCCTGACACCTGGTCCTGAAAAAGCAACAAGTGTACCCTACATCTCCCCCACCCCCCAATGGTGGCCTTTTAGAGAAAAAAACCTTTCAGGAAAATCCATCAGGAATAAGACAGTTACGCATCCTTCTGAGTCGCTTGCAGGTAGAGAGTGGGAGGGAACTGGCATCCCCAGGTCTCAGACTTGCCCTTTGAAACTTAGTAATGCTGCATAACTACATCCTTCTTGCCCAAGAATTAACTCTGGGCCACATCTTCACCTCTCATGATGAAGAGGAGACGTGATTATATAGATTTCAGTTGTATTTCTCGTGCCAAGTTGCTCCAACGAGCCACGGTGAAATTAAGTCCATCTTGGCTAGGCCCTCCAGAATTTGTCAATGGCTCCAAAGTATTCTGCCGAGAACTTCAGATTTTATGAGTTTGCAACAAAAATAACTTTGGAAATGGATGTCAACCAGGGAAGAGAAGCAGGTATATACTTTGTCATTGACATATACTGAGTTTGGGGCTGAGGGCCCAGCTTGGGCCAGGTGAGGTCGCGTTGGCCTTTGTCTCGTACGAGCAGATGGAAAGAGGGAGTGCTGAACTGGCCAGGCTGTAGTTCAAAATTGTCTCCGGTTTTCTTCATGTTTGTCCATCTACTGTCTGTCATTGCCCTTTGTATGAAGCTGAGTGATAATAAGCCCGCTTATATTTTAGCTGCATACTATTCTTTTTTCATGAGGGTATCAGGTATTAAATATCTCCATACTCAGATGTGCCTACAGGGTTGATCACCTGATAGAGAAATTTTAATTTGGTAATTATTCCAACAGTCACCCCTTCTTCTCTACCAAGCACTCAGTTTGCAAATTTGTCAACACAAAGAGACTGTTGAGTGGAAAAACAGTGAATCTGATAGAAGAGATCTGTAGCAGGATGATAAGCCCCTAATGTTGGGGTGAAAAATGAGAACATTCTGATCAGTCAGCAGTGGCTACTAATGATCAGCAAGGCCTTCCATAGGTGTGGGAGTTGAAAAGAATGGGCCCACCATCCAGCTTTTGGAAAGTGGGAAAATGCAGATTCTTCCTGACTAATCCATCAAATGTTGAATCACTGTCCTTTGTAGCAATGGACTAAATAGATGAAAACCATGAAGACAATTTACTTGCTTCCCTGAACAGCCCTTTTGCAGCAAGTTCACTGGTAATGTTCCAATGTTCCTCTTGATCGTGTCCCATCTGCTTGATTAAGCCTTAGCCTTCCTCCAAGTACCAGCTCTAGGAAACTGGCCCTGACCATTGCAATTCAAAGGAATTTCTGCCTGTCTGACCTTGACACTTCAGTGTCTCATTCATCTGAGATTTAGAATTCACTGCTTAGTGTTAATTGTCTTACTGTTGAGTTTTATTTTTATTATTATGAGTCTGATTATGTAGTCTCAATTTATTTCAAGTCCACATGTCAGCTTTCTCATTGATAAGCAGAGGATTAGAGTTCTTGTGAGAGTTAAGAGTCTGTATTTGTATCGGTATGTATGTACACTGTATTTCCATGCTGTGAGCACACAGCAAGTGGTCACTACAGTCAGTTGCGCCCACCCCTGTAATGGGGCTTCATGGCAGCACAGGGCTCTCTTATACCTTTTTGTATCTGCAATTTTTTAAACCTAATTGGAGCTCAATATGTGTGTCACTACTGTTGATTTCTCATTTCTTGTCCCAAAAGATAGGGCACTGAACCCTCAAGGCTAGTGACCATCTCAGGCAGGGTTGACAGAGATCTATAGTCCAGGGTTGTTTTTTGCTAACCTGCAGCCCTAACCTGTGGCATGTATTGGAGGTTGATTTTTGAGAGTCCCCTTCTAGGCACCCAGGGATGCCCACTGACAGTGTAACACAGGAGATCACAGACTTGGACAAGGCCAGACTCTGTGACAGCTTTGACACTCCCCACCTCTTGGCACCCAGCCCGTTGGTCCCCACCCTTCCATACACCCACTGGTGGATGTGCAGTAAGTGGTCCATGCCCTGGGGGAAGCCCAGGGAAAGAGCAGGCCCAGATGCCCTTTCACTCAAGATAGCATTTGAACAATGTGATAGAAACTACACCAAGATTTTATAGATTTCTTTTCACAACCTGCTTACTAAAAATGGGCTTTAACATACATTCATGAGCAAACTTAAGCTTCTCCTTTCTTATATTGTTCTGATCCTTTCTCCTTTTCTTTCCATCCCCACCTCTGCTCACCCCCTTTCCCCAGCTTCGTTTAGATGCTTCATTCACCGCCACCCTTTCCTCCATATTTAGCTTCTGTGTGGAAACAGATTGCTCATGAGCTCCCCTTTCAGAGATGTTGGCACAGGGGCGTGAACAGATCAGAGTAAACAGGAACTCAGGTTAATTTAATAGAAAAAATAAAATATGGAATAACATTGATTTTGGCCAGTATCAATTACAACCATTCTACTATATTTTACAAAAAACAACTGAACATTTTACACATGTACAGTATTTTTCAGTAAAAGTGGATTTGGATTTAACAATGGGTCACTAATGAAAAATGAAAAGACAAAAGAAAACAGAAGATAGGACTTTTGTCTCTAGAAGGTTAGAGCATTTGTTAAGTCTCCAAACTCTGTACTATCCATTACATAGATCTCATTATGAATATATATATTTATACATAATATATAACATTAACTTAAACTTTGAAAGCATTATGTTCTAGTTAATAATATTCTGTAGATAAACGAGGCAGTAACACTAGTAGTTAAACCAGTATTTCCACGATGTGCGTCTGTGTGGTCAGTGAGAAATGGAACACACGTTGGTGGACCCCGGTGAATTTGGCTGTCGGATGGCTATTTGTCTAAGAACACGGACGTCATTTTTACTTTTCCCTTCATGGCAACCTTGTGCCTCAGATATTATGGGTTGGTTCAGTTAAATGGATTCCTTTGCAGGCAAATCTGGTTTGGCCGATACTTGACCTTGCTTTAGGCTTGTGCTTAATTTCTGTCCACTTAGAGACCGTGTCTTTAAATGTAAGATTCCGTACACCCATGCTCAGGACTAACTTGCTTTCTTTGGGTCAGAAGGGCCTGCAGTGTTAGGAAGAGGAACACTCCTCAGTAAAATCAGGTGATTGCCTCGTTACGTCTGACTCATTATGTGACTCAGTCGCACTGCAGTGCTTTTAGGAGGGTCATTGGACTTTTTACTCATTCTTTGCCTTGGGTTTGATGTTAACTTTGATGTCTGGGAATGAGTATCTTCAAGGTGAGCTTTTTAGTAGCTTGTTGCTTGGATGGGGACCTTCGCACCCACTTCCCAGGATAACCTATACTGACATCATTCCTGTTCTCATCTGTGAGGCCAGTGACACCTTGGAAGTGAGGCTGTCTGAAGCCTAAAGCTCGCGAGATGGCTAGTCACCCTCAAAGCAAGTGAGGTCACCATTGGGGCTTTGATATGGAACATGAAACTTGCTAATAGTCTATCCTTCCTCTAAACAAAAACTCAGAACTGCACAAAGATCTATCAGGCTTCCGCATTTCTGACCACTGATCCAAACAGCCTTCACAAAATTCAGTCTGCTAGATTCCAGGATGTGTTTGGGGAGTCATAGAAAACTAGTGAGGATACTTCCAAGAAAACAGATGACCTCAGTGACATTCAGTGGACAGGTGCATCACAGCATGACGGCAGAGGGACAGAGGAGCGGGAAAACAGCAGGGCCAGGAGGGTGCAATCATGCTGCCTGTCTTCAATTTCCAGTTTTATTTTCTTAAAGTGAAAAGATGAAAAGACTTCTAATAAGCACCATTGAAAAATGTCACCCAGCCAACTTGGGCATGAGCTTAAATATTATTTAAATAAATTCCATTTCTTCAAAAATACAGGACCTTTTAGAAACGTTTGACTCCAGGAAGAAGTTTCTTGCATCATAATCCAAAATGCTTCCCACTACAATAGAATTTCTGATGGCCTTAAAAAAAAATACTATGGGGATAATGACGAAATAGCACCAAGAGATTGTGCAGGGTCTACGAGTGAGCACTCTGGATTTGGGGGGAGCTGGATCAGTCTCGGCTGTTTTGTGTATCTTTGCATTCTGTCCATTACCAATTTGACTATGCAGAGCAACCCCATTTGACCAACTGTATGTAAAATAACCAAATCTACCATGGAAAAGCCAGTAGCAGCAAGTCTATCTGATGAAACCAGTGGAGTGGACTTATCAAGTGAGTATAATGCCAAACCCGGCACATAATGCACGAAGTAAATTATGTGTAGAAAGAATCAATGTTCAACTGTGAAAAACTCAAATGACACTGAACACAACTCTGCGGGATGTTCTTGATGCCCCTAGGTCCAGTTTTCTGCCATTTCCCCCAACAGTGGACTCAAGCATGAAAAATGACGGATGCAAGAGTTTTCTGTTTCATTTTGATCTATGTCTGCTCTTGTGAAGTTTTTGAAAGGTATTTTTAGGCATCTCAAAGGGGAAACAAGCAAGTAAATGCAAAAGGAGGAAAAAAAAAGGCCTTCAAAACCAGGGCAGGAAATCAAATCATTACTTTAACGTCAAATTTTGGCATCAAATGCTTTGGTCATACAATACTGTCTCTGTGGTGCTGGCTGTTCAGCACTAAACACCCAGTTATAAAAGGTAGGCTTGTTGTAGGTTTATTTTTTTTTCCATTTAAGTTCTGACAAAACAGTTCACCATCTCCCTGCACAAATTAGAGAGAAAGAGAGCAAGAAAGAGAGAGGTGGCTTGCTTTTTTTTTTTTTGCTTGTTTTTTTTTTCTTTTTAATAATAATATGGAGTAATCTATAAGTCTACAGGAACAAAGAAATCTAGGATGGCAGCTCAGCCTTGGAATGTGCATGTTTTGCAGCAGAGTTGTTGAAGAACCTTCCGTTGACACAGATTGTTCTTTTTCACTAGCATACAGAAGCCTCCTTCCGCCCAGGACTCTTCCGTTGCTTTTCCAGGAAGTCGGCAAGAGAGAGGGGGAGTTGAGGACGAGAGCAGCATGATGGACACACACGGAAGGAGGTTTTGATTGGCCAGAGAGGTAGGTTGGGGGGATTGGAAGAGATCATTCAGGAGCAGTCAACAAGGAGGAAATTTGGTCCACCCAAAGTGATTTCAGTCAACAGCATTGTTTTTCAAGGAGAGATATTGCAGTCCAACGGTAAATGTGATTGGTATCCATTTATGAAAGGGAAAAAAAAGATTAGAAAAAGAATAAATTAGAAGTCAGTAATAATATAAGCAAGGAATTGTTCCTTTTGGAATTTCCTAGAGCAGAGCATATCCAGTCATTGATGCTATATTTCATTGACTCCAAGACACTGGATTTCAGATGCACCA